CAAGTAAATTCTCCTTAAATCTAGTGATAGAGTTGAAAATGAATAAAATGTATCTAGAGACAATTAATTAGCTACATATTTACAACTCACAGTGACATGTAATTTAAGATGGAGGGAGATTATCGACTTATCGTATTTATGATTCATGAAAGGATTGTGCTATTGACTGATTCTTGTACAGTGATTCTTGGAACAGATATGAAATCGCGCAATCCTCAAGCTAAGGTTCCATCCCCTACACAGTCTGCCGCCTCGAAAGTACAGCAGGTGACTTATCCAACCCAAAGGGTTGAGATTGAGACACTGAAAGTTGAAGACACTGTTGAAGAAAATAAGTCTTCTGTTCTGCCACTGGTACAGGAGAAAGGGAGAACTGTAGAAGTACCTGATATTTCAAAAACTATCCATGACTCGAAAACTGTTAAGGAAGCAGTTCCACGGGGAAGTGTTCCTTTGGCTTATGAAGAGGTACAACAAAAACCAGTTTCCGGGGAAGCAGGTAAAGTGAGATACAACTGAATTTCTATAAAAGTTCATTTGCGTATTCCCCGTTATGGAGCCAATCCGTGATTTTCCATCTTTCTTTTTTTGGTTTTATAGGCAAGAAAATGAAAAAGAAGAAAATCCGGATGCCTCCTGGTGGTATGATCTTATTCATAGTCTTATCTGCCTTTTCTTCATAATAAGGTCTCATTGCATTAATTGATTATGAGTGCAAAAGGTGTATATATATATATATACACACACACACAACTCAAGGAGCAAGCCGATAAAGGAAAAACAATAATAGAGACTAATCTATGGGGATGCTTGAATATAAAATATTTTGCTTTTGGTTGGATTTTTTAGTTAAGTATGGTTAATTTTGAAAAAAAAAAGGGTAAAGATAGTTATTAGTGGGATTTTGAGTTTATATTAAAATAATATTTAAATAAAATAATTAAAGTTGGTGTGATGTAAAAGTAGGAGAGAGATGATGTGAAGTGATGGTTAGTTAAAATTATGCGAGTGAATAGTGATATAAAATTGATGTGATGTGTAAGAATGATTGATTAGTATTATTAATTATATTGATAATATTGATGATAGTGGTGTTGAGTTAGATTTTGAATATGAATTGAGTATGAATTGGGTTGTACTCTGCCTACTGTTTACGAAGACAGTTAGACAAAAGATCTGCTTCCCCCAACGAACGAAGCGAAGCGAGTGAAGTTTATATACAAACACACCCGAAGTTCTTCTATGTCTGTTTCTGTTTAAGTTTGGGTGCTCAGCTTTTATCTTTAGTCCGTGCTCGAGTTTTGTTGATGGGTGTAGCTGTTTCCTTAGTTCATTATGCTTGCTTGAGTTAGCCCAGATTTGATTATCCATTTTTATCTGGTCAACTTTGGATCACATGAACTCATCTTATAATTTGTAATTAACTGCCCTGCAGCTACAGAGATGCAATGGAGAAACCCCCAAGACCTTGGACCAAAAAATTGTATGATGTCACTAGGCCCTTCTGCTTTTACTCCTTGCTGGAACAGAGTTCAACCAGGACTTGATGGCTTCTTGCCTCCATATGGTGGGCCCATGCCACCATACATGGGTTATGGGCATCATCCTATGGAAGTTGCATTTATGGGTCCCGATCCATTTGGAGGGCCCGGTTGTATGTTTCCTTATGGCCCTCCTCAGCCTCAGAGGTATGAATTAAGTTTGTGTTTAGAGGGTGTTTGTTTATAAAATTTTCCGTTTTAATACTCAATTCATATACTCAAAATCTAACTCAACTTTAAAACCAACTCCACTATCCTCAATATTATTAATTATAATAATATCAACCAATCATTCTTACACGTCATATCAACTTTAAATAACTCTTCGTCCACTTTTTAACTAGCCACCACTTCACATCATCTTTCTCTTACTTTTACATCAAATCAATTTTATTTATTTTATTTTAAGTATTATTTTAATATAAACTCAAAATACCCTAACTAACCATAGCATTCTATGTTTGTGTTTGCTTCTTCCCATGATTGTTAGCTTTTGTTGGTTCTGAGTTTTGATGTTTCGTGGGTTTTCCAGGGACCTTGCAGAGTTGGCCATGGGATTTAATTCTGGGCCATCAATCATGAGTCGAGAGGAATTTGAAGCCCACAAAGCTGAGCTGAAGAGGAGACGTCAAATGGAGAGACGCGAAGAAAAGTAAGCAGAATTTGACTCTGACACCAAACTTTGCATGTTAAACTTTCCCTTAGTATGTCATTTTAGATTTTGCCTGTTGAATTTTGTACTGAATGAAGTTGATTATTACCTTGAAGGGGTCCATTTTCGATATAATAGATCTTTTCATTTATTATTTTTTTTTTTTTCAATATTTCGCAAGTTGTAACCATTTTTATGACTAATTTTCTGCACTGTTTCAATCCACTGCCTAAATATCCCTTATGTTTTGCCTTCTGCCTAGGAAAATGTCTAAAGATGGGGAATATCGGAGAGAAGGGGGCAGTACAGGCTATGCTACTTCACGATCGAAATCTGTATGTATCTTGATTATCCAATTATTGTTAATCAGCACGTATGCGCCCCTGAATATAATGTGTCTGAATACTATATTAGCAAATGCCAAGTCTGTGATTTTTTTTTGCTGGAATAGTTAGATATATAGATAGTGTAGGTTAACTTTTCTCTTCTAGAGTTCTAGTAGCCTTATGGCTTTTCCTTTTATTTTATTTTTTCTGGGAAAATTACACCGTTTACTTTCAAAACTTCATTTATTTGCACATTTACGAACATTTATTATTAATTACAAATATATTAAAGGCGATTTGGTGGTGTATTATTGCCACTACTTTCCAACTCATTATTTTAAGATTTATGATTCGTTTATTAGTGGTTTATGCATGGTTTTGTTTTGAATGTTGTATTTTTTTCCCAAAAAAAAACATATAAAAAATCAAAAAGTGTAGTAAATATGTAAAAGAGCCTTTTGCTTTTTTTTTTTTTTTTTTTAAGCTAGTGAAGTTGCAATATTTTTTTCCATGCAGAAGCCGACCCCACCACCTCCACCTTCCGACCACCACCGCCATAACCGGCACTCTCCCGAGCGGCCGCCGCCACTCGACCACCACCACCGCAGCCGCCGCCAGCGGCGCTCGGAATCCCCATCGGAGCTACCGAAGGCTTCAGCATCCGACCGGAAGCAGAAGACGAGCGTCTTCTCCCGAATCAGCTTCCTGGAAAACGAGCCGCCTGTGGGCCCCACAGATGCTAGATATAACGACAGCAGCGATGACGAGAGGCATTTCAAGAGGCGGCGGCGGCGGCCTGAAGAGGAGGAGCACCGCCAATCGAGGGATAGGGAGAGGGAACATCATAGCAAAGCATAGATGAAATCCTCTGTGTTTTCATTCAAAAATTTTCTGAGACTGAGTTTCATCAAGTGAACTTAAATTGCAGATTCTGATTCAGATTGTGGATATTTAATTTAATCCCAACTTAAAGCAATACCAAAAAATTCTTCATCTTTTGCACATGTCACAATTGTTGTTGTTGTTGTTGTTTTTTTTTTTTTTTTT